TAGACGAAGAAAGGGATTCCAGATGCCAGTCAGATACCATCCTTCCTTTTCATGTTGTTTGAAATGAAGCTCAATTTCTGTAGCCTCCGTGACATACATTTATACTCAGTGGAGAGGATACTGATATTCTGAAGTTGAATGCAGTGGCTCGGGTTAATGTTCACTCATGGGTAAAATGTCTGGATGAGACCGCAGATATATACACTGAAGTGTCAAGTCATGGGATAGATACCTAGTATCATGTAGGACCCCCTCTACCCCGGCAAAGTGCAGCAACTTGATGTGGCATCGATTCCACAAGTGGACAGAAGACCTCTGGAGAGATGTTGAGCCATTCTGTCTGGATAGCCACCCACAGCTCCCTGGTATTTGTAGGTGCAGGATTTTGGGTGCAAATGGACCTCTCCACCATGTCCCATAAATGCTCAATTGGGTTCATGTTGGGCGAACGTGGTGGCCACAACATTCGTCGGAACTCTCCAGAATGCTCCTCGAATCGATTCTGGATAACTCCGGCCCAATGACATGGTGCATTATCCTGCTGGAATATCCCATCATTGTGGGGGTACATGAAGTCCATGAAGGGCTGCAAATGGTCACCAAGCAGTGTAATGTAGTGGTCACTGGTCAATGACATGTTTAGGTGGACAAGCGGACCCAACTCATGCCACGTGAACACACCCCACACCAGTATGGAACCACCACCAGCCTGCATGGTGCCTTGTTGACAACTGGGGTCCATGGCCTCATGGGGTCTGCGCCACACCCAAACCCTACCATCCGCCCGAAACAACTGGTACCGTGACTCATCGGACCATGCCACATGTTGCCAATCCTCCAGGGTCCAATTAGCGACGTCACAAGCCTAGGTGAGGCACTGTCTGGTGTCCTGGTGTTAACAGAGGCACTCTGGTCGGTCTTCTGCTCCCATATCCCATGGAAGCTAAAGAACGCTGCACTGACCTGCTGGATATGTGTCTGGTACCTCCTGCATTGAATGTGGATGTGATTTCAGCCAGTATTGCTTGTCTGTTGCCATGGACAATTCTAGCTAGACGCCACTGGTCACGATCATTAAGTACCCGTGATCGGCCACTGCGCTGTCCACGGTGGGTGGAAATATCTTCCACAAGGTATTCCCGGTACACACGTGACACTGTTGAATGACCACATAACTTCTGAAGTGGGATGTCCCATCTGCCTGGCACCCCCTATCATGCCCCGTTCAAACTCTGATAATTCACGTCGGCTTGCCATGAGCAGACTGGCCGGTGTTCAGTGTGACTCACGAGAGAACACCTCACAACTGATACTGCTCTAGGCATTCCCAAGCCGTCAAGGGATGGTGGCGCCACTTAAAAATAAATTTACATACTGCTATCCCATGACTTTTGCACTTGAGTGTATATACAGTAGAACTTGGTTATAACGTCATCAAAGGGACCTAAAAATAGTGTCGTTATAAACGAATGTCGTAACCGAAATGGGCACTTCCACAGTAGCCTTATGTTAGTCACGTAAAAATCTACCAAAAACTGAGTTAAAATGTTGCATTTTTTAGTGAAATACGTAGTTAAGTACAGACTAACATAACATTAACGTGGAATTGCCCAAATGTGTAATATCAAAGACATATTACAGCGCTTTTCACTGACAATACACACCGCACTAATACTGTATATTAAAGGTAGGCCTACTCATCAAATTACAGTAGATTACATCAATTGTTGTGCCTTACTGTACCTAGATACGAGTACAGTAATCAGTTATCTTCATCTGTTTCCTGTTACTTGCCCAATACACACTTTCTAAATTACGTTCAATGTCCATAT